CAAATACTATTTATCTACATATAGAGGGTTTATCAAAAATAATTTTACAAATAATTGTAATGGGTTCATCAAACCCAAAACAAAGACAAAAATCCATATAAATATATGTCGCAAATACTTTGTTTTTGAGTTATAGGTTTTAAAGAAACATTACGGTAAATGACGTTGTGCTGAATATAGACTTGGTTACATTTGTTATTCGTGTACAATTGTGTCTAGTCTTCCTTCAACATTTAACAGGTGTAGTAATAACTTAACTGAGAAGTGTTCCGTTTAACATTGGCAGGATATTCATATCTTGTGCAGGCAGGTATGATTTTTGCATAAGGCCGCGCGAATAGTAATGAACGCGGGGCTGCACGGCAAATTGCGCTTCCAGACCGAAGTCAGCCGAGTCATCCAACCTTTGCTGCTGTTTATCGTCACGTTGCTGAGACAGCATCCGTGTCACCAGAAACTATGGATCGGGGAAAATCGAAGTGCGCTCGTACGCCTGACCACGAATACAGCATTCTACTAGCTGTCGGATCTGCACGCGTCAAGAAGCCTTCGAATGTCATACATTTTATAGTATCCCATCGAGGGTAATTAAAGAGCAGATCCTGCATCCGTACCATTTGGGACGTGTGCAGCGTCTTTCGGCCCCTGACACTCACCAACTTTTGCTGATGGTTTATTGGTGTGAGGAATGCCCCCCCTCCAAAGTCTGTAACATATTTTTGTTGCAACACACACACACACACACACACACACACACACACACACACACACATATATATATATATATATATATATATATATATATATATATATATATATATATATCGCATATCGATTGCATCAGCATGAAACAGAATGTCGCCTCTAAGTGTTGACTTCTATGTTAATTTTTATATTTACACCTCTCTATCTCTGATATTGAACACTTTTATGCCCTAAATATAGCACATCTTAAGACTATATATATATATATATATATATATATATATATATATATATATATATCACTGCTGAATACGGCGAACTAATAATGGTAATCTCCGTGATTCAATATATATATGTGTGTGTGTGTGTGTGTGTTTGTGTGTGTGTATGTATGTGTGTATGTGTGTGTGTATGTGTATGTGTGTAATAGGCCGGTTAATGAATTTTGTGGAAGAGAAAAGCCAAAAAAATGATAGCAATATTGACAATAAGGTTTACAATATTTATTATATATTAGCTTTTTGACTAAACTGAAGCCCGAAGAGAAAGATTTTAAAGTCGGAATTTTCGGACAGGACTGTGTCCTTTTACAATGAATCGCGCTATAAACAAAGAAGTGGGACTAAATCTTCCTAGCAATGTTGTAGTTTTTGGTTAGAGTACTCTGTGAATTTCTTAGTAAACACAAGCCTCGTTTTAATCTCTCTCTCTCTCTCTCTCTCTCTCTCTCTCTACATATATATATATATGTGTGTGTGTGTGTGTGTGTGTGTGTGTGTGTGTGCGTCGATAGATATCTAGAATATTAGTGAGTCGGAATTATTTTTGTTTATCTGATCAGCACAGAGATAAATTACTCGGTATTTATTGATTCATATTTTCATTCGCAGATTATTAGAGAAAATCACTCGCATATACGCATGCGCATAAACATTTCTGTATACGCAATTTATAATACATTTATATGGAGGAAAGCCTGAAATTACTCCTACCCTTGCTGAATTTATGAGTTTGTATTTTTTAAACTAGAAAGAAGCAACCGTGAAAAGATCAAATCCTTTTATCGATTTCGTTATATTTTGAAGAATACCAAATATTGCTAGTGAATGAATAACGTTATATATATATATATATATATATATATATATATATATATATATATATATATATATATATATAAAGAATGAACAGTAAGATATATAATCCGGTGTTCTTATAGATATTTTTATTTTACAAAATAGTGCTCAATGTAAATTTACAGAGCATTAATATTATATTAATATTATAAATAAACTGATTTAAAATATGGTTTTTCCGCTACCATGTCTCAAAAATGGAAGGTCCGAATTTGTAATTAAATTAAAGGCATTAGTTCCATTTCATCCTCAAGCGAATTATATATATATATATTTGTGTGTGTGTGTGTGTGTGCGAGTGTGTGTGTGTGTGTGTTTACACAACTTTACAGATCCTGAATTATTTATTTACTGACTGAATTGTTTAATTTTATACTTTTCTTTTCCATTTTGTGCTTTGACATTTCAAGTCGCCCTGATGCCAGTCGTAGATTTCCTTCAGATAAAGTTAAATTTGATTAAAATTGTATATATATATATATATATATATATATATATATATATATATATATATATATATATATATATATATATATATATATATAAAGGACTGGTTAACGTTAAATCTAATTAGGAAATGTTTATATTAAAATGTACTTGATACACAATACAAAAATCGAAAGTGCATTATAAAGCTGAGTAAATTTCAAGATTAGTTATTACAAAAATTTACATTGAGGATGAAACAGAGCTTGATACTTTAATCCAGTTTAATTTTAATAATTATATTGAAGTTTTTGGCTCCCGTTTTTTAAAACATGAGAACTCTTATGTAAGGAAGGAATCATATTTTTTTTAGAAATAATTATAATTTAGGCTCTGCTTGTGTATGGAGCACTGTTTTTAAAAAATAAAAACATAAATACTAAAGAACTTCGGATTATTTAACTAGCGTCTTCTTTCTTGTTTTTCTATATTTTACACACACACACACACACACACACACACACACACACACACACACACACACACACACACACATATATATATATCCTGTAGTTTATATGTGCATATATATAATATATATATATATATATATATATATATATATATTATAATATATATATATATATATATATATATATATAATATAATTATATATTATATTTATATATATATATATATATATATATATATATATATATATATATATATATATAAAAGTATAGACAATTATTGGTTAGCGTTAAATCAGATCAAGAAATGTTTATATTAAAAGGCGCTCGATACACAATACAAAACTCGTAAGCGGAGAGCTTTTTAATGCTAAAATGTAGGAATATACTACGCTACCATGGTTTCAACCATTGAGATTTATTTAGGCAGCAGAAGTTAATTCATTTCCTAACTCTTTCTTGTTTATTTCCGTTCACACAACAGGAAAGTCAACAGAAAGTGCGGTAAGTACAGAGTGGGGAAATTGAATGGGAGGTTTGTGTTTCTTTTTTTTTTTACGGCATAGCAACCTCAAGGGGTTATTTAATGCCGACAAAATTTGTATTGCTGGTAATATTTTTCTTCAAACATTTGAAGAAATCTATAGCTGGTCATATTTTTTTCAAAAAAATGTATAGCTGTCTATATTACTGTTTTTACTTTTCATTTTAAGTATTACTGATAATAATTTCTCCTTCAAAAATTATTGCTGGTAATTTTTTTTATTACAAATTATTTCTGGTATTAAGTCCTATTTTTACACAAGTTTGGGTGTTAACTATTTGCCCATAGCTTGACTCAACTCAGGTCAGCAATTAAGTGGTGGTTCCACGATCCTCAAAACATCCTTATCAGAGGCCTTGCTGCTGGACGTAGTTTATCGTCTTACCCTGGGCGTGGATGTAGTTTATCGTCATACCCAGGACGGTGGAAGGGGAGGGGAATTAAGAAAAGATATATACGTACTTTCATCCAGATTCGTACCAAAATATATTTTTACACTGTTTACATCCCGACATGATTTCAGACCTCTTATTTAATATCTTTTTTTGGTCTGGACACGTTAGGACTGCTAATGTTTGTTCTTGGCACGTCCTGCATTCACCACCACGACCACTCTAATGCTTCACTTTTCTCAATATGCTCCAGCTTACATTTGGGCTTTTTTTTTCAGTTCCTACACATGGCTGGAGAGTCTGGTACAATTCCTATGGCTTTCTGGTCTGAATGATGACTTGTGGTTGTACAATCTCTTTTCGAAGATGGTTTCAATGCACCCCACATATATACATTGCACTGGCCATTTACATCGCCTGCTTCCGCCTTGTAAACCACACATTCTGCTCTACGAATGCCATACAGCTGATACTCACATCCATCTCCAGAGTTGCATGTTTCACTACTAACAACATCCTTCCGCACGCCGGCCCTGAAACTCATGGCGTTCCGACACCACAGGTTGCCCTTCCTGATTGAACACTGAAGTCATCACCCAGTGACGACAGTCTGTTTACGAATCAAGCGCAATCTTCATAGTTTGAAAATTGCTTTCGATCATAAAACAGACTGTCGCTCTCGGTGTTAATGTGTGTTCTCTTATATGTATATATATATATTCCTGTTATCTAAATCAGTGGTCGCTAACTGGTGGTTCTCGGACCACTGGTGGTTCTCGGACCACTGGTGGTTCACGGACCACTGGTGGTTCACGGACCACTGGTGGTTCACGGACCACTGGTGGTTCACGGACCACTGGTGGTTCTCGGACCACTGGTGGTTCTCGGACCACTGGTGGTTCACGGACCACTGGTGGTTCGTTGAAAAGATTTTGATGATTCACAGAAAAAATCTGGACATTATTTCAGTTTTTATCAAGCTTCAGATTAACGTATCATGGATGGTATATATTTTCAAGACATTATCTAATCTCGAAATAAAAACGATTATACAAATACACAAATATGACATCCAGTCATAGTATAACCTAATATTACTTGCAAAGTCATGTTTTATACTTGTTACTAAATAGTTTCTTACCATTACTGTTGATAAATAGTTACTGTATAGTTTTATAGTATACTTTTCTACAAACATGGCATAGTAACGGAGTAAAAGCGAGATTTTAAAGAATCGACTTACGCAATAGATACAAATACATAAGCATTCGTACTCAAAAAATATTTTTGCAAAATATTTTTTAAAAGTCGCTATACGAACAAATGAAATAAATATTGCCCTAAAAATGTGTAATACTTGAATAAACTTCAAATTTTCAATTTGTTTTATTTAAATAATTACAGTATAACATTGTTACTTTTTAATGGGTGCATTTTGTTAGACATTTTGACGGTCGTCTTCGAGTATAGAATCCAGAGGTTAGCAGTGAATATTTCATAGACAGTAGGAAAGCGTAGTTCAGGTTAGCAGTGGATATCGTAGCAGAGCGTAGTACTCCCTTCTGTCATCTTCGCCTGACAAGTTGGCACTGGTCATTCGGGTAGGTAACAAAAATGGCCGCCTTTATACATGACGGATACAATGTTCTGCGGCTTCTGATTGGTTAATCTTCTATTGGTAGACTATAAAGGGAGTTAAGTCATTTTAACTAACTAACTAGTTACAGTATATACACAAAAAACTGTAACACATTTCATATTAATAACATAAAAGTTTTAATATATAAATGTAATTACCGTGTTTTTTGCTTGTTTTTTTTTTCTTATTTCATGTTAGCAGTCCGCCAAATTTAAAACTATACATTTAGTGGACCATAAAGATCCAAAGGTTGACCACCGCTAATGTAAATTACGCAAAAATAATATAAAACTGACATCTCATTTTAACAGATATACAGTGTAACCCAGATATAAGAGAGTTGTCGGGACCGGAGAAGAAGTCTCTTATATCCGGGTTTCTCTTATATCCGGGTGTGGTCTAATTTATATACATTAACACAGGCTCTAATTTGGGACCAGAGAAAATCTCTCTTATATCCGGGTTTCTCTTATATCCGGGTCTCTTATATCCGGGTTACACTGTATTTACCAAAGTTACACAAAAATATCTTGAAATAGTAAAAAGTAATTTTATTCAATAATATCACCATTGGCTACAACCACGGTCTTCAGACGACTTCGGAATCTCCTGTACCTCTTCTGGTCGGTTTGCTTGTTTAAGTTGATGAATACTGCCAAATCCTTGCGTATCTGGCTTGGTGCCTCTGCTACGTATTTAGAGATTCTTTATATAAAACAAAGTAGAATATGCAATGTTATTGTTCATAACCTGGCATGTCGGCTTCAGTTCCTTTCGCACCACTGAAACGTAGTTTTCTTGTCTCTTTTCTATAAATATTTTTTATGGTAACTGTTCTGATGAACTGTTTGCTACGTTTATGCTCGGAATTTGAGCCTAGTACTTGATTGGCGGCAAGCTCTCATCATTTTACAGTTGAAATAACTTGATGTAACCGCAAGTTCTATACTAACAGTTTCTTATCTGGCACTCGTCGCTTGTGAACATCTCTTCCGGTTTATTGCTTTTATTTTCTAAAATGTAAACGCAATCGTTAATTTATGTCTTTTTCATTCCTGTAGTCCTTTATTTATTTTTGTTGTTGTTGTTGTATTCTCTCATGCGCAGTAACGACTTCCGTCTCAGTGTTCTTGCCTTGTTTTGGTTGAAGCTATGTTAAAATACATATAGTATAAAGATATCAATAACATCCAAAGATATTCACTTTTTTTCCCCCCTGCGTCCTGGGTATGACGCTAAACTACATTCGCCAGAAAGGTCGCTGATCGGGAGTTTTCGAGGGGCGTGGAACCACCTCATAATTGATGTTGGTCCCAGATCCTCCCTGACCCGTGGGAGATCGCATCTGTTAGAGTTCCAGCTATGGGCAAATAGTTAACCCCCAAAATGGGGTCAAAATACTTTGAACGTATAAAAATAGATAATTATAGTAAAAATACCAGCGATACGTTTTTGAAAAAAAATATATATTACCAGACTCTCGAGAAATATATATATATATATATATATATATATATATATATATATATATAAAAAGAAATATAATGTAGTGGTTCCAACGAGAGAAAAGTATGTATATTAAAAAGAAGAGAAGAGAGGTGCCGCAAACGTTTTTGGTTGTAATGTGGATTTATTTAGAAAAAATATTATGCTTTGTTTTACATGTTTCTGGTCTCGTGACCGTCTTCAGGTAAAAGTGGAGATTTCCACATATTATTAAAAATAATTAATTTTTCCTCATGTTCAATGTTAAATATTCTCGATATGAGACATTTTCTGTTTGTGTGTTGGTAATCTGAATTTCTTTCTCATATATATATATATATATATATATATATATATATATATATATATATATATATTCTGTTCATGCGAATCTATCCAAAAATCCATTAAATAACCCATTGAGGCATTGATATGCCGTAAAATATACCAAAACAAACCAAAAGTTTTTTCCTAACTTTGTGCTAAATATGTTGCAGAGAACAGTACATAATTTATATAGTTCATAATATGAATGTGAATGAATTCGACAATTATTTTAAGACATTCTTTTATGTTTATACGTTTTTTTATAGATATAAATATTCAAGTAAATGCTCTGTTTATAATAAACAGTATTAATAACATTTACCTGTATCCTGTACGGAACCGTCATATAGCCTGACGTGCTTTTACCGATTGAGCCCCAGAGGAGTGTTTCGTTTTACCAAGGTCGATTTTACTGTTTTTAAACTACAATTTTTCATGATTTTCTCGTACATTCATATCTGCTCGATGCGTATCCAAATGTAAACAAATGACGTCACACATTATGAAATGGACAAAGTCCGCCAATTATTTTAATCATTTTTTATCTATAAAATTTGTATCTATAAAAAGAACGTATAAACATAAAAAATGACTTAAAATAGTTTATGTTGTTTTTTATTTAACGATAATCTGTAAGAGCGAAATTTTAGACGTCACTAAGTGCATTTCAAGAATAATTGAAAGAATAGTTTTGTTGTTCTTTAAGTTCGTCAGTTTATTCGAGCTCAGAGAAAATATATTGAAATCAATAATTCTCAAAGATAGATGAGTTATCATAATCTCGGATTGATATTTGAGTGCAATATATATTTATTAATGCAATGACTCGACAAAAATATATTAACGATTATCGATATATAGATTTTTTTGGAGGTGTTTTACTCTTCTCCAAAGGCATTAAATTTGGTCGCGGAAGAGAAAGAATAAAAAACAGAAAAACGCCTCCATTTCTACTTATTCATGTAGATTTAATTGATGCTGAATGTTTAACAAAAGAATTCTTTCTTGTTTTTTTTTTTTTTTAAATCAATTTCAGATAAGATCTTATCTGAAACGAACGTGCAATTTTAACGATTCTTATTATCTTACTGTATACATACGCACACACACATGCATATAAACACACACATATACATATATATATATATATATTGTACATTATTATGTTAACATGAGTTTGATTTTCTTCTAAGTCAATTTCATATAATAACGAATAATGTCGCATAGACACCAGAATCATGCGAATTTTGAAGACATTTTGAAATTTGATTTTGAAGCTAATTTTAATGGGGTCGTATAATATACGGGATATAAAATTAGCGTATATACTGCTGGCCCTGGCTATGCCGTTGACCAAACTATACATTAATTTGCTGTACTCAGATTTACAGATGTATTTAAAATAAACATGATTTCAATAAAGCTGTAGTTTTACCTAACTCTCTCCAATAATAATGTATGTAATATTCACATATTAGTATCGTATTATAAAATACAAACATAGCGAATAGGCATCTTTTCCATTGTTTATCTTTATAAGATGTTCTACTGTTTCTCATAGTATAAGTTGTTCGCTTGTTTCTCGTTCGTTTGTTTATGGCTGTACGGATTTACGCAATGAGTATAGCGTTACTTACTAACTGTACTTTTATCATTCTCTTTTATTGTTTTAACTCATTTAACAAGAATATAGAATAAAGAGATAGAAGAAAAAGTTTAATCTATTGTAATTTGGTCTCTCAAAAAAGGAACTGGTAATGATATAGGAGATACATAAATACACGAGATATAAAATTAACATATGTACTATTGGCCCTGACTACGCCGTTGAGCAAAGTATAATGATTTTCCAAGCATAGCTTAGATGGGGCGCAAGGCCGAAAGTATGGTGTACCCAGTGAGGATCGAACTCACTACTCCGTTGACCAAACTATATATCCATTCACTGTAGTCAAAAAGTTCAGCTGTATTTAAAATAAACACGATTTTGATAAAACTGATCATTTACTTAGTTGTATCCAATAATAATGCATGTAATATTCACATTTTAGTATCGGATCATAAAATACAAAAATGGCGAATATGCATCTTTTCCACTGTTTACGTTTATAAGATCTTTAGTCGTTTCTCGTTCGTTTGTTTATCGTTGTATAGCGTTACTGAGAATGCTGAACTGTTACGAATTTTTCCAACCTCTAGACATGCCATCGATTTGACTTTTCGGGCGTTGTAGTGTTTTTTTTTTCTTTTTCTTTTTTTATAAGGAAGTAGGAGGAAAATATACGAACAAGGGAGAAATATATATATGAAAAAGGGAGAAAGTCGAATATTTTAAAATGATAATTTTCATGGAAATATCGTTTTTAGTATAGCAGGCTTAATATTATGCGTTTCCCACCTTTACATTATCAACGGTCAACGTATTGCTTACGGTCACATCACTTTGAAACACTACTTACCGTAGGATCACCGTCATTAAGCAACGCCATGCCTGGTCAGTATCTAGATGAGTAAGCGCTTAGGAATACCAGGTACTTTAAGCTTGGATGTATGGCTGGCCCGGAATTCTCCATCGGAAAGCCAAGTTCCAATTCCAGTTGGGTTCGTTATATTCACTTACGCATAAAAGGAAAAGTATGAATTAACCTGTTCTCTCACCCCAGCTATGGGTTAATTAATAAGACGTGTATCACCAAACAATTATTATATCCAAGAAAAATTTCTTACGAACTAAAAAAAAGTATTTCCTGGCTTTAAATAACCAGCAATGGGTTAATAAGCTGTAGAAAATGAATGTATGAATCAATATATAAATAA